TTTTAGCAAACGTCTATCATATCTATATAAATTGTAGTCTAAAATATTGGCCAATCACAGAGATCTTCACCTATGCTGTGCAGTCTCCTATCCTTTCATGAGAAAATTTAAATAGATTAATATATAAAATGTCGATAAGATGTATGGCAATTTTCTACAAAAATTGCAAACTTCAAATTGCATCTCAATATTCTACATATTAAACTATTTAGAAATTTCGCGTAAATGTATAATGGATAGCTTATTTTAATAAAATGAAGAATTTTTTTTCATAACCCAAAGAATAATTAAAAATCTATTTAGAAATTACATATTTTAATGTAACATAGAGCTTTTTTTCATAATCCGATTAATAATAACGATTTAAAGTTTTATCGAAATTACGCTAATTGATTTTCATATAGGGGCTATATTTATACTATTATAATTGCATAGATGTGCATTCACTTTGCCTCGTACGGTCTTCGCTGCGCTTCGGACAACAATTCAATTAAAACTCTGTAGATCTTTCGTAAAGTTACTTTTACATCCCTATCATCATTAAATACAAAATTTGGGGCATTTGCATGATGTATCTTGCTATATTAGATTATGATTATATCATAATTGTATTAAAATTTTTCGGAATAATGTTCCGTTTACTTTTTTCATAATCTAAACTTGGGATTTTTCTCACACTCATATCTTTATTTGTAGCAGTTTAGTCAATAACGTTTCACAAAAAAAAAGAAAAAATAACTTGCCCATAAATTATTTTAAAAGCATATCTTACTCTTCAGAAACATGAGATACTCTTCAGAACCTGTAAAGCGGTTAAATATGGATCTGAGAGAATTTAAATGTATTATATGTAGGGAGTTAAAGCCTAATATTCGACAAACACAATGCTGTCCCAAATTTTATTGTCAAGAATGTATTCAAAATATGGAAAACAGTTCCATTTGTACAATTTGCAAACAACGCACTAGCTTCAAGGAATGTCCTCAAATATCTCGTTTAATTAATTCTTCGCTTGGCAATCTCGTGAATACGTTTTATGATACGGTTCGCAATTATTTTTCACCAAGTAATAAACCGAATACAACCAACGATGATTTACCGCATGATTATTCCGATGCAGGTATTTTTAAAATTAAAGTAGTGAATATGCATGATATAAAACTCGATCTCTACGTTGAAGGAGATGAAACAATTGAAATCCTCAAGCTCAAAATCCAACAAAAAGATGGTATGCTGTTTATTTTTATAACAAGAAAAAGAAAAATCATGCATTTTAACAATAAATTTCTCTCTAGGCATTCGTTCCGAGTATCAGCGATTAATTTTCTTAGGCAAACAATTAGAAAACCATAACACCATTTCATTTTACAAGATCAAACCAGATTGCACTATACATCTTGTAAGTCGCTATAATGGTAGTTAAGAAAGTATTCAGTTCAGTTATATATATATATAGTCAAGTATGAGAGATTTGTATACAGAACATTTATTATAGTGAAGAAAAATGATTGATATTCATTGTAATCATTAAAATTATTTTGGTTTATCGTCATTGTTTCCTATTTTAATTCTGTCACACTGTCACTAGTCTATTACATTCATGATCCGAAAGCAATGATCCTATTATGATTAACTCGCATTATTACTGTAATACATACCCTTATATAGTATCCTAGTACCTCAGATAATATCGATATTTAATTAATTTTGCTTTACTATAGAATACTAAGTACTGTATGCAAAGTTATAATAAATGTGAGTTGTAAATGAGAACGAAACTTAATGGATTTGGAATTTCTTAGTAATATTAAAATTTTTGAACAGATATAAACTTGCATTCTAACCTTATAACATTAAAAATCCATTCGAATCTCATCTCCACTAAAAAATATGAAATAATGATAGTTAAAATAAATTAGATCTTATTTTTATACAGTCAACTTTCTCTATGCACAATTCGTTGGTATCAAGCCTAGCATCGTGCATTTTGAGAACAATTAAGGTATCAAACATATACTTGAGCCAAAATTTAAATTGTATTTAGAGAAAAGTTGCATTTATAGTGATTGCACTCAAAGAACGTTGACTGTAATAACTGCCAAAAAATTTATATATGAATCTTATTATTTACTCCATTACAATCCTAGTTGAACTATAAAAAGTTGCAATTAATATTTGCAGAAATCAATATGATTAGAAAGTAGTAATAGGTGAATGTGAATTGATTCTATTAAACTTCAAAAGCTATTCCCTAGTCTGTATTGGGGCAAATTTGTCTCCAATTTGATAAAAATTTTATAAATCTTAAATTGTTCAAAAAATTATTAATGATAATCTTTATAAAAAATATTTTTGAAAATATATTTAACTTTATTAAAAATTTTTTTATTTTTATTAAAAAGTTTTTGAGTAATTAAATTTTAAAATTTATCATATAAAAAAATTTTATTATTAAATTTAAATTAGTTTTATAAAATATTATATGTTTCTGAAGCTAAAAAATATTTTCATTTCTAATTTAAGTTTAAATTTTTACAAGTAAGAAAAGTACCAAAATTTTAAAGTAGTAACAAAATTTTAATATAGTAAAAATTTTAAAAATTTAAAATATATTCTATTTAAATTTTTTTTTCAAATTCTACAATTATATAATCCTTATTCTCAAAAATTAGTAAAAAAAATTAGATTTAAATATTGTAATTTTTAAAAAATTAAATCATAAATATTTTTATTAAAAAATTGAGGCAAATTTGCCTCCAATACAGACTAAGAAATAAATTTTTTCAAAAATTTTGATAGTGATTTTATTTTGACTGATAATACTTTTTTTAAAAAAAATTCAAAAACAGAAAAAAATAGTTCACAAAGTCAACTGTAAAAAAAACAGCAGAGACCGTCAATGTTACACATATATTAAAACTGGTGAGGGATTATATCCATCACAATTGAATCCAACATAAATAATTTAATTTGCGATTGATCACAGGCGAGAGGGATTCATTTTGGAACGGGCACTATCCCTGCTGTACTGTAAAAATAAATATTTTGTGAATGGATTTTTGAAATTTTTAAGAGGTAATATAGAAAATGCTCATTTATAAACTTTAATTGTAAAATCGATAAGAAAATTATTATAAAAATATGACTGCTGATATTTCTTTTGCTTCCAAGAAAATAATATCATTGTATTAATAATAATATTATTTGGCAAAATGATTTTAGATGGATATTCTTACGCTAACCATTGGAGTTAAACTCGAAATTATTAATGGAAGCTCTCTTATTCAATGGTGACAGTAATATTCTTAAAAAAACATATTCTTGCAAAACTTTTATATTAAATTTATCTTAAAATTTTTTGAAACCTAAATTTTATAAAAAAAATCTAAGTAAATTTGCTCGTAGCTATGAATTTTATTATTTGCGTGTATGCAAGATAACTTATATGCCAAAATTTGCAAGTAATTTTTTTTATTAAAACACAAAAAATGGTTTCATAAGCAAAAATATGAAAATTCGATATTTCTTTTTATGGTTTGATTGGTTGATGCGAGCCAGATTTGTGACGCAGTAAAATCCTTTAAAGTTCGCAATTTCATATACCTATTTTTGAGAAATAAGCGATTTAGACAACACGGGTGGATTGAATTTCTTGATCGTTTTCGCTCCATCTGATCTTGGAATCTATTTTGTAGTTCAGGACATAAACCTAGCCTGTCATCATATGGGCATATGCGCTAAATTATATATCTCTTAATTTATATTTAAAAATATAACGGTATATTTAAGTAAAATAAATAAAATAATTTGATAATTTGTGCAGTATTAACGTACTCAATTAGCTTACGTCACATGACTTTGTGTATGCACGTCTGTAATCTGTGACAGGTAAATCACCGCCTCTTAGAGCTGATCTAAATCGTGATGAAAAAGCTATTACAGTTGGTAATTTGAAAATGCTTATTATTACGAAATTAAAGTGAATATAAAAAAATGATTTGATCTTATTTGGTTATTCTTTATTTTTTTACGATTTTATAAATTTTTCTTTTTATTTTTAATAAAGTTCATAAAAAAAAAAAAGATTAGTATGAAAGGTTCTTCAAATGCCTCGCAGGTTATATAAATTTGGACATGTTTAAAAAAACATAAAATGGAATTAAGGAAATGAAGAGACAATAGTTCCAGCATCACTTCATCTTTAGTTATTAATTCAAACTGTCGAAATATTAGGCAAACATTACGAACAGTGTTAGATAAATTCAAAGATCAGTATGATGTAACAAAAATAAAATCTCCCAAATATTTTTCTTTATGATAATAGTGCGACTGTTCAATCAAAATTGCTTCGAAATACGAATTCATAAATAAATGGTATGGTGAAATATCTTCATTCGAAAAGGTCGAATTAAGCAAAAAAAAATCATTTAAGAATGTGTTGAATAATTAGCGGTTAAGAAACGATATATTGTTTGCTTTCTTAATTATAATATTAGAGGAATATTTATTTAGTATTCATTATTTTAATTTTTAAAATTAAAAGGTTTGATTTTTTATATAAATGTTTGTTTAGTTAATATCAAAAAAGCAACTTTTGAATTTATAAGTTTTTAAATTTAATAGTTTATGACAGTTAAATCTTACGCTAGGAATATAGTCAGATGGTGATTGAAATCAGTGGCTTAACCTATCACAGATTAAGGACATGCTTTGTGTATATAATGTTCAATCTGATTTAATTTAATTGGTCAATATTTAATATTTCTATTTAAAATTTATCGTCAAGTCAATCACATTATTCATTATAAGCAATATGGATAATGCACTTCTTTATATATAAACTACAGTTGAGTGTGCTTCACGAATAGTTTCACTCATAGGTGTCCCCATTGTTATAATAGATTCTTGAGATTTTTTTTTATAGATTAGAAATCCAGCTGTAACCAATAATCCAAATAAAATAACACCACCCACACCAATACCAATTCCAATATATAAATTATTATTTTGTTGAGTAGTTTCCGCTTGGCTTGTTGCAGTAGATGCTGGATTAACTGAAGTTGATGTTGGAAACGCATTTAGATATGTAACCCAGGTGTAATTTTGTATGTCAAGAAGATAAATATTATTAATGTATAAATTCATTAACGAAGTTTGGCCTGAATATATCAAGGTTAATAAATTTAATAAATTTAATAAATTTTAATAGCATTATAAATAAATAAATAAATAAATAAATAAAATAATTACCAAATGCAATAATCATATAATTTCTGTATAATGCAGCAGAATGACGTGCGAGTGGTGGAGGTGCATTTATTCCAGAAACACTTGGAAAAGACCACACCCAGGTGTTTGTATTTAATACTGCGACATCTGAATATATACTAAGATAATCTCCAGAAGAACTATTTACAGCTGCGCCACCATATAGAATAATATTTCCGTCTTTGGCTATCAAAAGATGAATAGGGATGGTAAAAAAACATTTTTTACCGGTTTAAAACATGAGATGATTATGATAGGAATACTTTAAACTTAGATTCTACAAATTCAATTAATAAGCATCGCATGTTTTAAAATGGTAAAAATATTTCCAACCCTAGATAATTAATGATTAGTAAAATGTAAACCTGTTTTACGTTAAAAATTATTATGCATAACTCACTTAAAACTGTAGAATGTGCAACACGAGACAAGATAAAAGAACCACTAACAGTCTAATGAAATCAAAAAAATTAGGCTTAATAATTTACAGCAAGAACAATAATTGATTATATACATTACTTTGGTAGACCAGATGTAGGATTTTGTATCAAATGTTAGAATCTACATTTGGTATCAATTAGCATTAAGTGATGAGCTCGGGTTCTAAATATTATTAACTAAATCATACCTGATTAATATTAACCATGTTTGAAGTTAAATATGATTCACGTCCACCAATGTAAATAGTAAGACCATTTGGTAATAATGTAGCAGTATAATCAGCATAAGCAATATATTGAGGTCGAAATTGAGTTGACCAAGACATAGTAGTGATATCAAGTATACTCATATCATTATATAAAATAAACGTTGAACTATTAGAATTTAATCCTCCTAAAATAAAAATCTTTCCGCTATTATCAATAACTGCTTGAAATTCATTACGATTTGCAAAGCTAGAGTTAAAATTATTTATTATTGGTGTTGTCCATTGCGAAGTCATAGAATTAAATGCATATGCTGATGATGCATATACATAATTTTCAGTATTTGGAGTAAATGTTCTTCCGCCAATTAAAAAAATAGTAGAATTATCTATAGGACTAAGACATGAACCACCATAAATATATCCTAACGGCATTCCAATAGCATTATGCCATGGTGGTGTAGTTATGTTAAATGAGTTTGACAAGTCAAGATACCAAACTTCATTAG